GGGGGGGGGGGTAGGTTGCAGCCACATAGCAGAGGACTAGTGTAATGATTCAGCCACCAGTTGTGAAGTGCAGGGATGGTGGTTCCATCAAGAGACACTTGACTAACCTGTAGTTTACACGCTGATTGACTCCTTCCCCAGGAGGAAATAATGGCAGTGAGGCCTTGAGCAAGATGTGTAGCTTACTTTAGTTTTCTCTCCCACTGGGTGGCTGGAGATCTGATGTATCTCCTGTTCTGAAGGAAGCTTGAGTCCTGATGTGTTCCCCAGACTCCTGACAGCTGGCAGCTACTTCTCCCTTCTTGTGCAAACACAACGCTGTAGCAGCCCTGTTGCTCCAGGTTGCTCCTTGGCTGTCTTCAAAGCTTTTCAGGTGGTGGTGGTGGGGATTTCTTGTCCACTTCCTTTGGAAATGAAAGTAGTTAGAATCTGAACTGCAGGCTTTCACTTAGTTGATAAATATCCCTTAGTAGTTGTCTGACGATGGAGCAAAAATGTAATGGCCACCATAGGAGAAGGTATCTTAAGACCGATGAATGAAACAGGCAATTCCATAGACTATCACAGAATCTGTTTACTTGAGGGAAGATTGGGTTGGAGTGGAAGAGACAACCCAACAGTTTTGTGCAAATTATCCCCCGATAAAGACTCCTGTTACTGCTGTAGCCAGTTTTGGTCAGTGGTTAGAGCATCTGTCCAAGGACTGAAGGGTCCTGGGTTCAATTCCAGCCAAGAGCACATGCCTCCTTTGCAGGGTCAATCCCCAGCCCCTTGGTCCACGTGTGGGAGGCAGCATGTGGGAGGCAAACAATCGATGTGTTTCTTTTACAATGATCAATGTTTCTCCCTTCCACTCTTAAAAGCAGTGGGAAAAAATATCCTCAGGTGAGGATTAAAAAGAAAAAAGACTCCTGTTACTGCACCTTTTTAAATATTATAACTCAGGTAATAATGATTGATAAGACCAAGAGACAAAGAATGGAGTAGTGCCAAGGGCCATACATCCTGGTAGTCCATACTATCACCAGTTTGATATTCATCTCTGTTTTCATCCTGGTCATTACTAACAAAAGTATTTATAGTTTGATTTTAAGGAACACAGATACTCGTTAACCAGAAAGATATGATATGTTTACTAAGGACAGTGAGTTTGGTCAAAGGTCACGGCATGAAGGGACACAAAATTGGAGATGGTTTTTGTTCACATCTACATTGATATAACAGTTTGTGTGGAGTATCAGATATGCCAAGGGCACACCCAAACTCAGAGAAAATAGCGCATCCTGTTAAGACTTGTATCTGCTTTAGTAACTTCTTCCAGGGCAATACTGGGAAAAGATAGGGAGAGCTTTTTTGAGGCTGCAAACCTTTAAGGGGATTTATGTACCTCATTTTGTCTTTTCAGGCTAGTCCTGCTCTTATCTGGGATTCCTCCCCTGATAAGACTCAATTCAAGATGCCTTTGTTGCTGGGTACTTTGATGGTCCCTTAGCATTCCATGTTAAGTACATTAATAACATCCACACTTTGTCCAGCTATCAAACAAGTGACTGTTGCTAAGACACTGTGTAAGTAACCAGCAGTGAACATTGACAGGGAGATGCTACCGCTCCCCAAAGTTGCTGGCAACAAAATCTACCATTGAGATTACTCCTGGGGAAAATAACTTGGCATCTGAGCTTGGAAAAGAGCACTGGTAAATTGATTTCTCATTCATTTTCAGCTGAGTCTGTTAGTTCCAGTCATTTATTTTTTCTAGGAAATGATTTTATCTATAGTTTTGATTTCCCTTACCACAACTATCTTCAGTATGTCAATGTAAGAAACATCCAAACCTACAAAGAATTTTTATGAGTTCACTTGGGCCAAAATAATGACAGTTGCCCGGAAGCAAAATCTCAACAGACTAAAAAAAATGCTCCAGAAAATAGCAGTTTTGCAGCTAATTTTATACATTAGAATCAAAGTAGGAAGCATAAGGAGAATTACATGAAATCCATTAGTGGTAGGTTAAGGGGGCGAGAGAAAGCAAAGTGGGGAAATCTCTAAGACTGGATAAAGGTAAACCGGCCCGGCCAGTGTGGCTCAGAGATTGTGTGTCGACCTATGAACCAGGAGATCGAGGTTTGATTCCCTGTCAGGGCACATGCCCGAGTTACAGGATCGATCCCCAGTAAGGGGCATGCAGGAGGCAGCTGATCAATGACTCTCATCATTGATGTTTCTCTCCCTCTCCCTTCCTTTCTCTGAAATCAATAAAAACATTAAAAAAAGAGTAAACCGGAGAGACACGTACTTCTTTTACATTGGCGGATACAGGATAGTTAACAATTAACCTACAAAACAGATAGTATTTCTGGAACAAGGTAAAAATGAGGGGTTCTGTGGTCTCCTGGTCTGGTGCAGAGGTTGTGCCCGAGGGATTTGGAAAAGATTACTCTTTCTTTTTTTCTCAGAAAAAATATGGAACACTTCATGAATTACTTGTCATCCTTGTGCAGGGTCCATGCTAATCTTCTCTATATGGTTCCAATTTTAATATCTGTGCTGCCCAAGCGAGCACACTCTGACTTTTCAGAGATATGTTATCCTAGATGCAAAAAGACAGTAGGCAGGCTCACTTAAGGTAGAGATTGACCTTTGTCAAGGAAGCTACAGGCTTAGGATGGACTACCTGCCATGACTCGCTTTTAGTTAGGAATTTTTATGTTTTGGCCATCCTATGTGGTTATTTTCAGTCTCTGAGTTTGTAGAGCCTGCCATGCAAGCCTCCCCTGAGCTTGTTGAGTTTGAATGTGGCCCCTTTTTTGTCCACAAGTAGCATGGGACAGCAAACATCGAAGGCATTTACTACCTCATTTGTGTGCTTAAGAAAAAACAGAAATGTGTTTTCTCCTTTTCTGTTTCGATAACTTTTTCCTGACTTGTCACTGATAACAGGAAAGATTTAAGGGCTAGAATTAGACATTTCAAGGGTGGGGTGGGGTGCAGTGCTTATGTAATTTTAGCCATCCCCAGCAGAAGGAGATAGGGAAGTGTGTGCTCTCTTTTACTTTTGCTGAAATTTAACTGAAACTGACATGGGAAACCCAAACCCTGCTTCTGCAATAGGGAAGAAACAAGAAAGATGTGTGGTTTCTTTGGGCTGTGGTGTTTGGAACAGAATTAGTTCTGTTCCCTTACTTTAGATAGTTCTGTCTGCGGTGGGGACACCTCTCTGATGTGTTGTTACTTAGTGTTGCCTGTGTTGTTGTGTGTGTTTTTTAAATATTTTTAAACATTGATTTATTTATTTTTTTTTAGTNTCCCTTACTTTAGATAGTTCTGTCT